AAACGATTTTCATTTAGCATGTGTTAGAACTGAAATATTTTTACATTGCTTACTATTTTCGAATATGCTGAACACGATTCTGAAGAGTTCCCGCTCCGTAGACCCGCAGTATTTTTTTAATTGCCATTTATATTTTCATTTATTCGACAAACAACATGCCATCGCCCGCCATTTTGAATTTCGTATAACATGGGCCTAAGTCCTCTTATATCGTCCCCAGCCTTTCCATTTCGTGACCGCGTTACGATTTAGATCGATGTTTTTTAGTGGTTTTCTTTTTTAACCTTTTTGGCTAATATTAGCTAGTGTTTTTCGTTACGAGTTTATAGGCCACATATTTGACTGAATTTTATCATTTATTTTCTCTTATAATTATGCTTTATTATACCATAATACAAAACATTTCCATATTTTATAATCCTATAGATTAGCTCAAAAGTAACTTCTGCGTTAAATGAAACAATGTCAATGTTTGACTGGTTATCAGGGCAACCAGGAACATACGTACCTACAATTAACAACCCCATGGCTAATATTGGACCAGGAGGTTGGCCATTTCTTTACAAAATATCATGATGTATGGAATTATTATTTGTTACAACCTATAGCTATCAACATGAACACATTACAAAAATATGTATAGTTTCAGCTCGTAGCCAGCGTAATAATTTGCGACACCTACAGGCTACATAAAAAAGGTCTAATTTTCATCATCGCTATTGTCACTGGAACTGCATTCGTCGGGCGAATTATAGGTGTCAGAATCACTCTCTAAACTGTCCGTAATGTTCGTAGAGCTGTTTTTGCAGCCAGTGCATTTGCAGAGATCGGAGCACTTCATTACCGCCTTCACACACGAGCATCGATTGTTTTCGCAACCTTTCTTGCACTTACAATTAACGAACTCAAGAATGGAGTCGGGAGCTGGGGCAAGAGACATCCAGTTAATTGTGACATTTCCTTCATCCAACTTCCAACCGTGGTCGCAAAAGTCTGGCAGACGTAATATTGGCTGCACGGCATGTCGCCAGATGTAGCATTGATAGTTAGCTCGACGTATATGGTTGTCAAGTGAATCTTGATTCGGGGGTAGTAACTCTTCATCGTATTTGCCGCCTTTAAACATTTCATGCCGAACAGAATTAACATCAGACCTACCTTCGTAACCGTAAAGGTGACACACGAAACCGTATAACCCATTCTTTAGTTGTGTCGATAGTGTGACGGTTTTACCCAAGTTTCCAAAAAGAATTGCATACTCGTCGTTCGTCCTAGCAATTTTCAACGCTTTAACTTTGGCTTTTCCATAAAAAGCACTTGTTGTGTCACAACCTATCAAGAAAGGATAAGCCTTGAATACATAAATGTCACATTTAATATAAGATATGTAATTGGAATTGACCGCGGAAGCTCAGATGGTACAGCGTTGGGCTAGTAATACCAAGGTCGGGACCTTGGTGTGCGAGAAACACTCGGGTAGGATCGAAAGACTTTGAAGTTAGGAAAGAAACTCTAAAAATGCAATTTTCGACAATATAGAGACTTCAAATTTCCAAAATTTTCTCGCTTGGCACCAACATATCTAGGGGATGGGAGGGGGGGGGGTCTGCATTTTAAAATAGTGTGCAGGGAGGGGTAATGGTATTTTGTATTTGTACAAAGGGGGGTCAAGGCATTTTGTTCAAATAACTGATAAATCTTGGCAGGCCCCCCTGGCATAAATAATAAATGGTCCCTGAAGCGTATTTTTCTCTTCATCTGTGAAGAGACATCAGGTGGTGACCATGCACATAATGATTCTTATGTATGGATGTATGTATACGTAAATCGGTTTAATTACCCGTGAATGCATGGAAGCCTATTAACGAGGAACACCATTGTTCTCCGATATGCTGTTTCGTCTTGTTGAGCGAGATGATTCGCCTTGCATTTCCTTTCCCAGTTTCAAAAAACAGATTAGCAATAATGTCGTTTATAGCGTTCAGTGCAATAAGGAACACGTCTGTATCCGGACTCTTAATGATAACATTGGAATAAGACAGGGATGCATGTCTTGCGTGAGCAATCATACGAGTATCTGCTTCCTCGTGATCACAGGAAAGTTCTTCGATTTCAGTGCAGCTCATATCGCCCAATAACTCGGTTAACTTATGACATTTGTCTTCGTGTGCGAGAAACACTTCGACGCCTTTCAGAGCCTGTGAATCCGCATTTCTCCAGGTGTTGTAGATAAATTTCATAATTTCTTCTTTGTTTTCTCCAGAGGCCATAAACTTCTTCCACTGCCGAGGAACTCGCTGTTGCTCGCTGTATATACGAATGACATTAGTTCCACCCATAGCTCGCTTGTCCCTCTCCAAATTCTTGATGCTTTATTCTGGATATCTATCGCAGACGAAATCAACCCGACTGAAATTTAAAGAAACAGCAGTGTTGACGATCTTAGCCAGCAAATCCATTGCATGTTCGCCAAATGTTTCTGGGAGAACTGTCAATGTTTGTATTATTGCCATGGCATCAAAAATATATGCTTTGTCTCCAACAGGAAGGTCAACTGAACCATCTTGTATTTCATCTTCAATCATTTTGAGCAATTTAGCTTTAACAGTCTTTACGAGGTCACCTTCATTCGTAGCCAATGGGTGTGGATACGGCCGGAGAGAATACGTCAACACTTCCTCCATCTCCAAATTGCGACTCTTGGCTATCAGAAGCATTTTCGCAAAAAGCGCTTTTGAGTTTTTCAGGGCCACGATCTCACCTTTCTTACATTTGTTATTGACCTTCTTACCAATAAGAGAGAATGTCTGTAACTGCGTCTTTATCTTGGTGTAAATGCCAGGTTCTTCTCCTACAATATTGGACTCCATAAACTCAACTGCAGTACATTCGCCTTTCTCGAGCATGGTTTTCATATCACTGGTTACTGACACAGTAGCAACAGATCCACTTGCTAAGTGCACCAACCCTTGGTATTCATTGTCAAAAGGGTTTATCATAGTCTGTACAGTCTGAATGACATTTGTAGCTGCTTTCTGGTCTGCTGCTATCCTTTTCTTGTCTAAATCTTTTCTCGACCTAGGTAAGAAATTTCACAAAAGCAATCCAAAATAAATAAAAATATGACGCACGTGGATGATGAATTATGCACAATGACAGTTTACATTTGCGTGTTTTATTGTGGGTTTTTATGTGGTATCTTCGTTACTGACCGTTTGATATCAGTGACACTTGCCATGGCTTCACATTGTCTAGTGATTGCACTCCTTTCTGCTTGACCCATTATCCAGCGATGCACTGCTCCCTTGTTTAACGTTATCCCCCCAAGACCACCTTTCATTTTCGAATCTCTGTTCAAAACAAGAAAAAAATGTATGTTATTACAATAATCATATTGATGTAAACTATATTAACACGAAACCACTATATTAAATGTTTTTTCGAGGCAACGATAAAGGACTACTAGCCTATTCAGGGTTTGCTCGATCGTTTGATCACACGCCACGCTTGAAAAAGCATACTCGTTCTGTCGTTGTACGGTCCAGTTATCTGCAATGTTAGCTGCCACATCTCCACAGGAAATATAGAAAAACATAAAAAGAGAACTCATTTAATCACTATACGGAAAATTAGTTTCAAGATTCAAAAGCAAATCTAATAATATAATTTAACGTATACGAGTAACACAAAATGAATAGTGATCGTCACTTACAGGGGTGAGTTTTCTCTAAACACAACATTTCAAGCCAGTAGCACGGCGCGTATCTGGAGTAATTCACTCGATCAGGTGCAAAAAAACAGGGGATCGTTGACCGGAGTGAACTAAGGTGTAGTTCCCAATTTGATGTTCTCGTTGCTCTGATGTAGAGTAGGAGTAGTTGAACCATGTCGATATATTTGGACCAGAGGGCAAACGTAGGATTCTCTTCGCTTCGTTTTTCCACGAACGTATCATAAGCCCTTTTTGCATCATTGACCTGCTTGCTCGTACATATTTCAGTAAACGATTCTCTCTCAGAATCCTCCAGAACACTGATACCAACCGAGTCAAACTGGTTGGACGCAGAACTTGCTAAAGACTTTTCAAATGCCTCAAATCGCATCCTTTGCATTGCTTCATAAATTAACTTGTGAACTCTTACAGAGCGATTATAATGCTTCCCAGATAACACACCTTTAACGGATCCAGGGGCAACTATCTCTGATTCGATCATGATATCCTAAAATATCAATTTGGAAAAATGCACACTGTTAATTGTACGTCGATCAATTTGCATATGTCATTCAATCAATAAACGAACAAATATTTGGATTAACTCAATAGATGATTTCATAGAAGGCGAACATACAAGCAAACACACAAACGCACAAACACACAAACTAATAAACAACAGGACAAACGGACAAATAAGGTATTAAAAAACCTACTTCCAGTCCTGCGTCTTTGAAAATTTTGGCTATGGCACTGCAGAACGACATGATGGTGTGGAAGTCTCCCAGCCTAATCACCAATCGATTCTTATATTCTTCGTTCTTCCACCTCAGCATCTGCGCTTTGGCATAGAGTGCTTCGTCAAATACCAGCACGATCTCTGGAAGTTGAAGGCGTTGGCATATAGAAACACTGTGCTTGAGTAAGGCATTAACTGTTGCCAAATCCGTGACTGGCGCATCGATCACCGGCAAGTAACCAATGTTTGTGACAGTTGGAATTTCTTTGTGAACTTGCGTATTGAGCCCGGTCCATCCTGGAAATAAGAGCCCACTCTCAGATGCGTACTTACGCGATAATGTGTACACAAAATCAGCATTCCTTGCAAATTGCTGCTCATCTTGATAGCTTTTGTCGTCAATGGAAATGTCAGAACTCTGGCTTCGTAAAGATATGGTTCCTTTTTCTCGGTTGGTGTAAGCAGTGGCGTAACGTTATATCAGGGGGCCCCCGGTTCAAAATTTTCAAAGGCCCCCCTAGTAGAAGTGCCAAAGGCACGAGTCGAGCGCCGTATATGCACGAATTTTCTAGGGGGTCCAGGGCATGCTCATCCGGAAAATGTTTGAATTTAGACTCTCTGAAATGCCATTTCCTGGACTTTGGGGAGAGATTTTACAGAATTTTGATGGTCATAAAACTACATTGTAACATATCAGAGGCCCTGACCAATGTTTTTGCTCTATTGCCTAAGCCTGGGGGCCCCCATTTAGGTTGGGGCCCCCGGGTTCTCACGGTCTGAGCCCATAGTAGTTACGCCACTGGGTGTAAGGTGCGATATACGTTCCTGGTGCTTGTACAGTACGGCACTTACTCACAGTGACATGATCTCCCAAGGTTGTGTTCCCGTTTTGCAACATAATTCCATTCGCCACATGGGTAGTTCCCTTTCCAGAGACAGTTTCTTCGTTGAAGTCGTTGTTATCCCAAACAACTGTGGCAAACATGCCCGGGTTAATATTACGTGGAATAATGATATCTTGTCCTCTGCTGCTGGCAATGGCTAAAGCAGTGTCGTGCTTGTAAACAGTAGCCACCGATGCTGTGTGTCCCAACCCATGCAAGATACGAAGCAATCGAACTGACCCAGTGATTTGGCGAACGGTCATTCCAAGAGCCAGTGACTTGTGGGTAAATTCCTGCTTTTCGATTCCGCATAGATCAGGTCCTGCGCTATCGACACTAGTTTAGTTTGCTCGTTTCCACTGATTTGCACCCTTTCCTCACGAAGTGGTTGATCAGAGAACCCCATAGCCCATGCTAAGAAGTTGTATAACTTCACCGGAATTGATTTCCTGGCAGATTGCAAAGTTAGGTCATGGGAATCAGGGGACCAGTGAGCATCTATGCCTTTACTTTCTTGCAAAAGCTTTTTTATTTCCATTGCAACGGGAAAAAAATCTTGAAAAGAACAGCCATTAACCTGCGATGAAGTTTGGGTGATATCACTTAATGGATCGTCTGCATTGAATTCGTCATCGTCATCTTGTGTGTTGTGGCGTATTTCCATCAAATCATCGGCCACTTCACCTGGAATCACATTATCTGCATAAACGAGAGTTCCTTTATTCATAGTTTTTGAGGCATGGAAAATGATTTGCGGATATCGCATTCCAATCCTGGTCTTAAGTCTGGCAGCCTGGTAGGGTACGTCGATATGTTCTATTTCCTGCACACAGCTGATAAACGTTTTTAATAGGTAGCTAAGAAATAAAATCTCCATGTTTTTAATGATGCGTTGCTCATTTATTGGTGTGCAGAATTCTTCAAAGGCTCTATCATACAAGGTCGGACCAGAATCTCTTGATTTATTGAAACACATTTCGTATACCTCTGGTAACAATTTTTGTGATACCTTGCTTCTATAGCTACACAGTCCTTTCCACGAATATGCAAAAGTATACTTTCATCATTTTTTAACGTTGCCGCCTTTTCCAAAATTCCAGCTGTTAACGTTTGTGCAACTGATAATTCTTGTTTTACACGTTTTTTTGTCGCCTATAAAGAATATATTTAGTGTATCAGATGATTAACTATATCATTGTGTATAATGCATAAGTATAAGTATAATGCAACATAAAAATAAAAAAAATACCTTATCTGTAAAAAAGATTGGTCCTGGTTGTTTACAAATCAAGCAAGACTTGGGTAAAACACTTGACGATCCAGAAGCCGATGTAGCATGTGCAGTTGCAAAAGATTGTCTCGTAGTTCGGGGTACTTTTTCTGGTGTTGGTTTGACTTCTTCCTCCTTCTCGCTGGGGCAGTCACCTTGACGCTTTCTACCTGCATTACCCAATGTTTTTTTGGCCCTTTCAAACTTACTGATGTCAGTGAAATTGCGATAACATGCGGAATGATAGAAATAGTTTTTTGCAATGTAATTTACGTTCAAACTTTCTGGGATAAACTCAAACGACTTTTTTGCTACCTTCGTAAAATCTTTATATTCCGACGATAGACATAGCCAATGTTCCCTTCTTTCGACTATTTTATCTAGTGTTTCTTGTGTTAAATATTTAATTTGCCATTCTTTTCCCTCAAAATGAATTACACAAATGCCGTCACTACAGTCACTGCCTTTATCCATTTCGCGCCATCTTTATTTTCACTAAAAAACATCGATCTAAATCGTAACGCGGTCACGAAATGGAAAGGCTGGGGACGAGATAAGAGGACTTATGCCGATGTTATACGAAATTCAAAATGGCGGGCGATGGCATGTTGTTTGTCGAATAAGTGAAAATATAAATGGCAAATAAAAAAATACTGCGGGTCTATGGAGTGGGAACTCTTCGGAATCGTGTTCAGTGTCTTCGAAAATAGTAAGTAATGTAAAAATATTTCAGTTCTAAGACATGCTAAATGAAAGTGAACGATATTATGCCTCAGCAAACGGCCTATTTGCCTTAAATTGGCGTTTACCTCCTAATTTGCAGATATTTATACAACACTACTTCCTTAAATGCGGAGATACAAGTCAAAACGCAGACATATATTTGTTTTTTGTTTTGCTTTGTTTTACTTTAGCAATATTTTTGCAATTTTCAAGCGGCCGGAGTGCAATGATAAGAATATTTTCAAGAAGTGGAAACTGGAATCCTCCATATTTCAACGAATCAAAATAACCTTACATTTCGTGAAATTTGGAAGACGATAAAACAATGTATATCTCTTGGCTTGTCAAAAACACTACTGTGCAATATTTATTATTGCAAAGCTTTCGCTCTGACGGATCTTATAAATATGATCCGACGGTTATCTATATTCAAAACAAACAAACAAACAAACAAACAAACAAACAAACAAACAAACAAACAAACAAACAAACAAACAAACAAACAAACAAACAAACAAACAAACGAACAAATCGCAAATAATTAATTTAACTCAACATTACATTGATTTACACTGGAGATGACAATATTAATTGTTATATAGTTAGTGTCAAAGTTCAATTTTTCTGTTTGCCGATTGGTCAAAACCATGTCACGTGCCGGTCAATTGCACCCATTTTATTATTGACCGGTCAATAATAAAATGGGTACAATACGCAAGCATGTCAACCGTGAAGTTCCAAAATTCAGTTTTTTAAAATTTTACTAAACATTTACGGCGTTCCATTTATCCAGTTTTGGTTTCAAATTAAGCTCTCTCCAATAACCGGTGAATTATTCATACTTTGACACTTATATACTATATAACGAAACACTTATTTTCTGAGACCTCGAGAAAGCAGTGTGTTTCCTGGCCCCTCGACCGCCGTTAACAACGGGGTCTCGGGTCCACAAAACACACTGTTTCCCTCGGTCTCAGTAAATAAGTGATAATTGTCATCTTCAGTCAGTTAAATGATTGATTTATAATAGTGTGTTATGTAATTAACTATAACATCCTAGATATCTACAAAATAATTTTAAGATTTTGTTTAAAGAAATATATAAGATTTTGTCAAAATAATAATAAATTGACATTTATTTTGTTCGCTCATTTCAGTGTATAACTGTAGTAACCTTGGGTGTGACGGAAACTTTGTCTGCAAAGAGGTGGATGGTTATTTAACATGTGCTTGTCCTGTTCGTTTTACTGGCGATAACTGTGATCAGCATCAAGGTTTGTATACTGTTTCTAATATGTTTTTTATTCATAAGCCTTAAAATATAAAACTAATCATGGAAACTGAGATTTCAGCGAAGATTTTTTTCATCTTTTCTTCTGGTAAGTATACATCCTCAGCGAAAAACACTAACTTATACTATATGCATGGAATTAATACTAAATATGAATAGCTGTTTATTATATTCTCTCCAAACCGCTCCCGAAATAGCTTGAACAATGGTACAGTATTTAATTTTGTCAATGTGTTGGTTTATTTTCAAACAAGCTCATAGCGCTGGTAACGTATTAACCTACCAATAATTTTGAAAATAGGAAGAAAAATTTGTTCAAGATTATAATTTCATACCTCTGTGATAATGAGTTCTAATTTAAATTACTGCATGAAAAATTTTGTATTGTGAGACCGACCATCTAATGACATACTGTACATCTTGTACTCTGAGCAAGCGCTATTTAATACCCAGACGCCAGTTATTATCTTGCTAATAATATAAGCTACATAAAAATGTTAATCGACTGTGATTGGTTGTTTTCAATGCAGCTAATTAATTTCAGACAGCAGTGCAAAAATCTGTAACAACAGTAAAAAAATCTGTGACAGCAGTGCAATAATCTGATGCAAACTGATCTGATTGGTGGAAAAACATGATGGGATCTAAAATCAACCAATCAGCTTAAACCAAACGTCAAGTAACACATCACTTCAAAACAAAACAAAACAAAACGAAACGAAACGAAACGAAACGAAACAAAACAAACATGGCGACTATGCTGCATAAGTAAGAGTTGAGTTCGGGTGAAAAATGTTGCAATTATGTAATATTTAAAACATGAGCAGCAGCGTTTTATCAGATATAAAATACGAGGCGAAATCGCGTATCTTTAGGCCTGATAAAACACGCACTGCGAATGTTCTAAATTGCTTCAAACACTCATCAATAATTCATAAGCTTATTGGCAAATCATATCAACCGTAATATGTCACGTGCAGTGGCTTTAAACCTAATAAAACACTCCTAATTAGTATTCTTTATATAAAGAATACTATTAAAGCAGTATATCTATTGAATTTGTAGTCGTGTTTGAAGCCGTTTAATCAACTCGCTGGTCGTGTTTTATTAGGTTTTAAGGCTTTAAACCTAATAAAACACTCCTGCTCGTTTATTAATAATTCAAAAGCTTATTGGCAAATCGTATCAACCATAATATGTCACGTGCAGTGGCTTTAAACCTAATAAAATACTCCTAATTAGTATTCTTTATGTAAAGATTACTAATAAGGCAGTATCTATTGTAGTCGTGTCCTAAGCTTATTAGTATTCTTTCTATAAAGAATACTAATAAAGCAGTATATCTATTGAATTTGTAGTCGTGTTTGAAGCCGTTTAATAAACTCGCAGATTGCCCATTAGCAATACGTCATGTAACATTAGTTAAATAGGAACTATTGCATCATGCAGTTGTGACAGTTACCATAGTAACGAGAAAGGACAGACAAACAGATTTTCAAGATGGCGATTAATCAACCACGTTGTTATTAATGTTCACATTTGTTTTACGAAATAAATTGTGCTTTCTACTGTTTTAGTACTTGAATTATGGAATAGATCGAGAATTTAGTGAGCGGGCAACAAATTTGAGGTCCACCGAGACTTTTATACATAAAATAAGCTGTGAATGCGAAGGAAAAAGTATGATTTTTACGCTTCTCTAAATTCTTGATTTTCGTGTTTTGCTTTTGCTTCTGGTGATTTGCTGGCGATTATGGCTGAAGAACTACAAATAAAGATGCAAACAACGGTTTGCCAAACACCCGAAGAAACGCTCCAGGCTATGGAAAAGGATTTTAAACTTGATATTTCCGAACAAAGGAAAAGTACAATTGTTTGCATGATTTTTAACCACATTGATAAAGAATTGATGGACAAAAACGAGGAACAACGAATGTTATTCTTGACAGAATTTCGCTCACGTTACTTTAAGAGTACAAAAGAAAAAGATGTTTCAGAATCAGTACCCCCTGTAAAGCAAAACGCAGGACAAAGCACATTACAAGGTATGTTAGAATCTACAAGTGTATTTCGGCGACAATTTAAGATTGTGGGACAAATTGGACAGCCAAATGAAAAAGACATGTTGAGTTTCACATCCTTGACAAGACAAATTGACACCGGGGTTAAACAGGGGTACACAGAACAGGAAATTGTGGACGGTGTTATTCGTTCAATTAATGGTGGAATGGTTCTTCGAAGTTATGTAGAAACTTACAAGGATCTATCTCTAGAGCGGTTACGAAAAATTCTTCGAAACCATTATGATGTAAAAAGTGCAACTGAGCTATATCAAAGTCTTGCATCAATATGTCAAGTGTCAAAAGAAACACCACAAGAATTCCTTATGCGTGCCTTGGATTTACGCCAGAAAATCCTGTTTTCAAGAACTCAAGATCAAAGTGAGGACACTTTGGTTTATGAAAATGATCATATTCAAAAGCTGTTTCTACGTACTGTTGAAACTGGCCTTCAAGATGAAAATGTTAGAGTATGGGTTAGGGGGTAACTCAGAAACCCCACAATATCAGACGAGGAGCTTATTTTGCAAGTGAATAATGCAGTGTCGACAGAGAATGAACGGGTAAGAAAATTAAGAAACCAGAACCGCCCAGAGCCTGCCCAGGTTTCCCAGGTAGCAGAGATAACTGAGTCCCAAGATAAAATTCTAAAGACTCTGGAATCACTGAAAGTTGAAGTGGCACAAGTTAAGAGTCAGTTGAAGGATATCAACCAAGAAACTGAACAAGCTCGATCACCAAATTCGCCTGCGCCAGTAGACACTAGAAACCAGAGAAGAAATACGCCGCCAAAATGCTTGCAGTGCCAAACTAGTGGAAATGACAAATGCTCTCATTGTTTCATTTGTGGAAGTGACAATCATTTTGCAATTGGATGTCGCCAGAATCGTGGAAAGAATACTTTAAACTCCAGGAGGCTGCCTCTCCGGGGCCAGAAGTAGCCGAAAGAAGTTTGCGGTCCCAAAGATGTAGTTATTGTGGCAAGGACTGTTGTGCACAATGCAAATGTGTAGTTTATTGTGCAAAAAATTGCCAGAAAAGACACTGGAATGATCATAGGAACAATTGTAAAACTCTTCGGGACCTGACATGGGCGTGTCAAAACAAAACACGCAGCAATAATAAGACATTTACCAGTCACCTAACTCCTAGTGAGCATGCAAAGATTGCTAAGCTAGTAGGAAGACGGTGCACTGTGAAGTGTTCTCTAAATGAACTTGAGTCAACAGTATTATGGGATATGGGTGTACAAGTATCTATCGTGTCCAAAGAAATGATGGGAAAACATTTTCCTAAAAATGTTATAAAGAACATTTCAGAACTTATTAATGGTGAATTGGATTTAACAGCAGCTAATGGTACACGAATTGCGTATAGTGGTTGGACTGAGATAGAAGTTTGATTGATTTCATCAAAAGAAAAGGATCCATCGGTTATGGTTCCTTTCTTAGTAACAAACGACAGTTTAGAATATCCCATTCTTGGATACAATGTTATTGAAGAACTAATCAAGCCGATGAATACATCTGATATTCAGTCAGCACATATTGCTACAGTACAAGCTAGTTTCCAAGGTTTTGATGAGAAAGCGTTACTCGAATTGGTTAGACTGATACAATCAGCAAGAGCAAATGAACTATGCACGATTAAGAGCCCAAAGAACGACTTTGTTATTCCGGCAAAGAAAACATTTAAAGTTAACTGTCGAGCGAATACTGGACCGGTAGAAGAAACTACACTTGTTTTGTTTGAACCGGACGAATTAACGACCTGGCCAAACGGTTTATCGGTGCACCAAACGGTTACAACAGTGAAACAAGGCTCAACGTCTCAAGTAAAGATAGATGTGACCAATACAACTAATCATGACATTGTCGTGCGTAAATACACAGTATTAGGAAGTCTTCAGTTAATTAAATCGATTATACCTGTTAGAAGTGAAGTTGGCAGAAAAGTCACGCAAAGAAAAACAACGAACAGTAACAGCCACACAATCCCAAGTGAATTCAATGGCGAAAGAAACTCGAGAACGAGACAGTACAAATGATGACCTGAAGTTGACCTTGGTTACCTGAAGTTGACCTAAGTGGATTAACAGAACGTCAACGTCAAGTGGTTACTAACATGTTGAAGGACGAATGTCACTCTTTTGCAGGAAATGATGAGGATATCGGTTATATCAAAGATCTAGAACTAGAAATAAATTTGACAACAAACGAGCCAGTGCAAAAGAACTATGTATCGGTAGCAAGACCTCTCTACCCGGAAGTAAAACAGTACATTGAAGATTTGTTAAATAACGAGTTTATAAGAGAGTCAAAATCAGCTTATTCATCACCTGTAGTATGTATTCGCAAAAAGGCGACTTTGTGTCGATTATAGAGAACTTAACCGTAAGACAGTGCCAGATAGGCATCCTATTCCGCGCATCCAAGAAACTCGATAGTTTAGGTGGTGACGCTTGGTTTTAATGTATTGGATCAGGGTAAGGCGTATCATCAAGGATTTGTGAAACCATCCTGCCGACCGTTAACAGCATTTGTGACACCCTGGGGGTTATATGAATGGGTAAGAATTCCATTCGGTCTTATGAACGCCCCAGCAAGTTTTCAGAGGTTCATGGAACAGTGTTTAGGAGAATTACGTGATGGAATTGCCGTTCCTTATTTGGATGATGTGATCGTATTTAGTAGAACACTCGACGAACATGTCGAACACTTACGAACAGTTTTACGTTGCCTAAGAGAACACGGTGTCAAATTAAAGCAAAGAAAATGTATATTGTTCAAACGTGAAGTCACATTCCTCGATTCCGCAGTTGCGAGTCTAAAGAACAATACTCTTCATACAATAGGAGATCTTCGGAAAATGCTTGGATTACTCAGTTACTATCGTCGTTATGTACCCAATTTCGCGCGAAAGGCTAAACCATTATACGACCTTGTTACACAAGCAGCAATAACCGACCCGTGTCATGATCAAGAGAAAGGTAACAAAAACACCAGAAAGAAAGGTCAAGTGCCATCATCATTCAAAATCGCGTGGACTGAGATACATCAGACTGTTAGAGAAACTCATTGACCATCTGATAACACCTCCAGTTATGGCATATCCAGATTATCAAAAACCCTACATCGTGCACACTGATGCCTCGAAAGACGGTCTAGGTGCTGTATTATACCAGGAACAGGAAGAGACAATGCGAGTCATTGCGTACGCCTCTCGGAGTCTGACGAATAGAGAATATAGAGATAGAATTTCTAGCACTAAAATGGGCAATCACCGACCACTTCCGTGATTACTTATATTACGCGCCTGAATTTACGGTTTATACCGATAACAATCCATTAACATACGTTTTAACATCTGCACGACTTAATGCCACAGGCTTAAGATGGATTGGAGAACTGGCCGATTTTAAGTTCAACATCCGTTATCGTCCAGGAAAACTCAATGGAGACGCCGATGCATTGTCCAGTATGCCTATGAATATTGACGATTATATGAAAACATGCAGTGAAGAGGTTAATCGCGACGCTTTCCAAGCGACTGTTTGTGGAGCAAAAGTACAGGTCGAACAGTTTCAAACACCTTTGCTCCTTCCTCCTGAGATTACTCGAGCGGATGTTAGTTTAAACCAAGCATCTATAAATTTGAAGACAGCAAAGAATGACGACGCAGATATTGACCACGTCATAGCACTCAAAATAGCGAACACGTATTTGTCTCCTCATGAAAGAAAGCAGGAAAGCCACACTGTACAGCAGCTGTTAAGAGAATGAAATAAGTTAAAAGTGGGGACTGATGGAGTTCTGTACCGACTACCAGGAACAGTCCGTCAAGTGGTACTACCTGGACGTCTACGTCAACAAGTATATAAAGAGTTACATGAAGAGATGGGTCATTTGGGTTCTGAACGCGTCATTGACTTGGCTCGAGAACGATTTTTTTGGCCTCACATGAAACAAGATATAACTCACTACGTCACGAAAGTTTGTCATTGCTTAAAGAGTCGAAAACCCGTAAGAAACCAACGTGAACCATTACATCCAATCGTAACTACCGGACCCTTCCAAATGGTTTCTATCGACTACCTTCACCTCGAAACAAGCGTAGGAGGCTATCAATGCATCCTGGTTGTTATGAACCACCTTACGAGGTATGCTCAAGCTTACGCGACTCGTGACAAATCAGCCAAGACC